TCTTCTCGGGCTATCAGCCGTGTTAGTCGGTGATCATCTCTGTCCTCATTTTCAAGGCGACTGATCACCAACTAACACGGCTAATAGTCCGAGAAGACTTTATTAATGAGAGCCGCCATGAAAGCTTTGGCAAGAAATTGATTTCAGGTGGGATGTCTGCAGTATCACCAATGGCAATCACATCGAACCAAAATGACTATTTGAGATAAAACTTGATTTGTTTTGCTACAAAATGACACCTCAACCGATTCTGTAAGCTTTCTGATTAAATTCCTATACACTTTCAAAGTTGTAAAGTCCTTTTAGAATCACCCTGTATATCAGGACTAATGTTACTTAGCACCTGATTTATATATTACCACAATGTTATATCCCTTAAATAACCATAAATGTCACTGGTAATTCGTACTTTGATATGTACCTGTAATAGGATAGAATTTACATTAAAACTAAGCGCCAGTACACGCCCACACAATTTTCTTCAAGCCTATGTTTTCGTCTTGAAGTCATTTTACTCCAAGTAAAACGTCGCAAATCTCAAATTTTCTTGTAGTTCACAAAACGCCATTACACTCGTAGCACTTAGACTACACTTTCTTTCATATTCTTAGTCACAGCGTGTTAAAATGTGTTCAAAAAAAGTAAAGCAATCTTCCCTTAAATTAATAAGCCTGTCTTTCGGTTTTAACGACCAATTTCACTGGACAGATTTGTGAATTAGTGCATTACAATTACGGGTAAAGGAAATTGTCTGAGCTAGGCAGATTCTATCAAATTATTTTCTTAGTTTCGTCTTAAGTTCAACAAAAATAACCCAAGTCCTGACTCTTTGTACTACAAATAGATTTTATTCTCCTGCGTTGCTACACCGTGTGGTCTTGAAGCTGGGTATAAACGTTTCGGAGAAACATACCGTCTCCATCTTCGGGGCTGATGTCATTTTAACCAACTTCGACATCTTTGCTGGTACGAGAACCTTAAATTTATCTTCTCATTTGATTTCTGCAAACGTTTTAATGTACAATATAAATATTCAAATATTCCAAGCTTACTGAGAATAAAAGTATTTTGTTTGTAGTTACAGTTCTTCGCTTAATTTAAAACCCTCGCAATTTCTATCTGAATTAAGATTTGGAAGATATAAAATTCTCATAAATATATATTCTACGCACAAAATGCCTAATACAGCTGCTAAAATTTCACTTTAGCATAAATCATAACCGCATGCATATTTGCAGTCACCAGACGCCCGAGTTTAGATTATATATTCGTTCGTTTCAGAAAAAAAAAATTGTTATTCGATGTACCTGATCTCTTAAACCACCTCTCAGGTTCAGTGGACTTTAAATTTCCATACTTTAAGAACTGCTTACTCGCCAATTTATTTGGAATGCTCCGGCTAGAAAATATGCAACTTTTGTTAAAATCCAAAGTAATTAATAAACCTCTCGAGTTAGGAATGTGAAATATCGTATTAAAATATACCATAAACATACAACAAATTCTGTATTTAAATACGACAGGCGGCAAAGATTTAAAATTGTGAGGTTATGTATGGCAATTTTAAAGTAGAATGGAATCGGTGACGTATCGAATAATGTTTTTCCGTAATAATAATAATAATAATAATAATAATAATAATAATAATAATAATAATATGTTGGCTAGGGTAATATTTAAAACTTCAACTCTAACAGGACGCGATCCTATAATGGCTATGCCAATAGCTGAACCACAAGTTAAGTTTCGTTTTAGGTACATTCCTGAGTTCGTGTCTATACACCCAACCAACACACTAATGAATTCTTGTGGACTTATTTATGTACTTTCGAGCTTAACTCGCATTTAACGCAGTAAGAAAAATAAATAATGAAATTGGTTAAGTCTACTGCATTACAACTCTTCAAAATACGGATCCATTTTACGAAACCATCTCCTGTCAAATGCGGGAAAAAACAGATTTTGAAAAGTTCCTAGGCTCTAATCTTATCCAACTTCGAAAACAATCGATTAGGATTAAGCAATAGTCGTCAGTCCATTTGCTTAAAAATATCGGTGAAAATCTTTGTTGAATGAGTTCGACAAAGAAAATAGGGAATCTACTAATTACTTTGTTTTTTTCATTTTATTCATTATCAGATGACACATCTAATCATACTCAAGAAAAGATGGATAAGTCTAAAGTAATTACTGAGACCTGACATCTTAATTAAATAACGTAAATTTTATTTCATCAGTTTTAAAAGTTACGTAAACCTATCAAAATAATGCAAATCACTGTTCAGGTTATAGGACATAGGTTATTTTATCAGCCATTTTAAGTAATTTTTCATGTCCCAACTGACTATAGATGGACAAACTCGTTACATTTCACATGCAGGTTTGAAGAAAGGAGAAACGTAGGTGTATTAATTAACTTAATAGTGAAAAGGTGGCATCTTACTTAGCTTACTTATTAACCGATAAAAAACCTGCAGAACTTAACATTCCAAAGATCCGAGCTTCGGGGTGTCTGAAGGAACTCAACGCCCCTGAACTTACGCGGAACCTGAATCATGCCTAATGCCTACGACGGATATAATCAACTCCCTGCAACTCAATTTCGCAATTTAAATCATAACCCAAGACAGTTTATCTTAAAACTCTGTGCGTAGCGATGCTCTGTTCAACTTCACGACTTTATTAAAACCAAATACTTTACTTATCACATATTTTTTACATTTCTTCAGACAGTTTCTTATTAACGTATTATTTTTTTAATTTTTTTTCCAACTATACAAGATAATATACCCATTATTTAAAATTATATAAATGTATGTTTTAGCTGAATCCTTTATCGTGTGAAATACGACAAAATCATAGTCTACGAAGCCAAAGGCCTATTTCTGAATCGGGTATTTACTTAGAAAATTAAAAAATTAAAAATTAGTAATTGAATTAAGAGTTTATAACATACACCTGATGACGGCTCTATGAAAGCCGAAACATGTCGAGAATGTTCCATATGTAAATCGAGTACTCGATACGGAACAAAAGATAATATTTTAACCATTTAATTATCTTATATTACTTTATTGTGATTGACGGACAATTTTAATATATTTTAATACTATTTAATTCTATTTTAAAACACATTCAAAAGTCATGTTTCGAGGAAGGAAATAAATTTGTGCTGGATTTTCAATGTTATATTTTGGTGTGTATTATCACGTTCGTGTGTTTCCAGCACAGATATAATTATCTTTGTCAAAAATAGCGTTCAATACATAATGCATCAAACAGGGCAGATCTAATAGTGTCTTAACCTTCAAGCAACCGGAAATAGTTGTTCGTAGAAACTACAGAATGCAATCCAAATTTTGTCTTAGAAATAAACGTCCGGGGTCACTTCTGTTATCGCTAATAGCCCAATGTTATTTATTTATTCTAGATTCGTTTAAAAACATTTTCAGTTCCTCAGATTTTATATTTTCGAATGCAATCGTGTCTTAAATTAGAGTAGGCCTAATACTTTCTTGTACGGACTGAGTAAAACTGTGAAAAAACGCTTACAGGACAGACGTCGTCCGGGTTGCGACCTACTAAATACGAATCAGCACTGCCAACCACTCCAAAGTGACCTTCCTTAATGTTTGATAATTTGCCAACACTGTTCTGTAAGCAGAAAGTTCTCACCACGCCTTGATTTCGCAGTTCTTGTGTGACAGAACTCAACAAAATAAATAGTTTCACGTTATTTGTAACGCACTGAATCCGCAGAAAACGCTACTGAAATATATAAAAATTGAATATTAAGAACTCCCAATATTAAAATTTACGTCAAACCGTGAACAACTGACAACCAAAACCTGGACACGTTTCTCCTATCAAACGTATCCGATTAGAACCGGAGTTATTTCGTCGATGATAAGGCGGCCGAGGCGTGAGACAACTCACCTTCGTCTAGTTCAGAGGTTAATAGTGCGCGGGGGGGATCCCCCCACACCTCCAAACATTTGTAAGACGTGGTGCATCGTTAGTCACGAGGGATAACTTCAATTTCTTTCCGTTCGAGTATTACATAGCATAAATAAGGTCTTCAGGCATTCATAATTGCTAAAATAGTCAACAAATTTCAGAAGTTTACCAACGTTTCATCGCCCTGATGATGGAGGCAGAAAGGACTTATGAAACGTTGGTAAACTTCTACCACACTACAACGCGATACAACTCATAAGACAGCCATTTTCGTAATTCAAAATTGAAAACCTCAAAACCTATGAAGATGTTAATTAATATTATACTTCATCCTCAAGAATCTACCTTTTTTAGTGATTTTCAAGAGACACACTTTCATAAATCATTAAGTTTTAATAAACATTCTTGCTACGAGACCACACGGCGATACAAAGCACCAGATTCAAACATCGTCCCTGAGACCTCATAAATTGAATTAAGTCTGTCTTGATTTTCCTTAATCACTCCATAAAACGCCTGAATATTATCTGTACCCTAAATTAATCCACGATATGTTTCCTTCCTATTTAATTCATGAAGTTTATTCATTAATCATTATCATTTGACGCTGCCTATAATGAAGACATGTCAGCTTCGTTAATTAATCCATTAATAACGCAAACTATTAGACTATTATGTTCTCGTGTTTAAGTATATTCGAGTCTTCGAATGAATCAGTACAATCCGAGTTAAAAATTACGTGTATAAAAAACAACGTGAATTTATTTTGGCCAAGAACGTTCTACCACTGCATTTACCAAGGACAAGAATAAGACCACACCAGAGATATTACTTGTAAGCGTAACAAAGGACAAACAATTACTCCTATATGCACGTTATTGATCTGATAACGCTGTGTTGACTGCCATAACAGCGCTGGGTAACAATTGAAACACGATGTATAAACATTGCATTCTGTTTCCCTGCTCTGCCATCTAGTGTTTTATTTCAGAAGTTGGTGACAATGGAACATCGCGAAAATCACAACGTACGAAGTCTCTTACCGTCTTTCGACTGGTGCAGGTGTGCCTCATCGACGGGTGTAGTGGCTGTTCCGAGTATCTGATCGATGCTGTAGACTCCGCGTGGTCTTGTAGCTGCTGGTAGCTCCTCGGAATGGTGTTGACTGCCAGGTCGATCCATCATTCTGACCGTCCCACCCCGCAAACACTGTCAGACTGCCAGCACCCGCTGCACCAACTCAATTACAACCCCTCCACATTCAAACACTCACTTAGATAATGAACCCTAAACTCCCCTATCACTCACTGCAACAAAACCTATTTCCCCTACGTCTCCACGACTAATACCAAGATGAACGTCATAAATGTTTCGAGTATAACCAATGAGCATGCGCGATACAAATGAACAGACCAATAGTGCTCCCGGTTAGTAATCAATTTGCTCATCGTCGGCGCTATGTCTGTCTGCTTGGAGGGGGGAATGTTGACAAAGCTGATCCGCAGAGCGTGGTTTTGATTGGCTGTAGGAAACATTTCGAGCAGGCATTGGGTGACAACGCAAGGCAGGGAGAGAGTTACGTAATCTGTGTAATCAATATAAGTAATTATGGAAGGAAATCCCTGAAGGTTATGAAAGCACGTGTGGATTACCAACCCAGGCGATATATTAGGTTCTAATTTCATAAACGAATGAAAATATTTATACACAATCACAGGTCAACAACACAGGGACTCGGACACTGATTCAGTAGATAGGTGTCCACAGTTCGAAGCCACGTTTCACTTCTCGTGTTAAACAATCGATAATTTAATTCCGTGACGTCATAAAATCACTCTTTTCCACGAATTTAAGGATTAAAATGAAAGTAGTGTCCTTATCAACAGCAAAGCGATTTTACCATCCCCAGATTCTGGGGATAAATTGTTTTAATCCCTTAGTTTAATCCACCTGACCCCAAAAATAACTGAATAAACAATTTACATGACCGGAAATGAGTGATCGTATCCCGAAGGGGTCAACTTTACTCCAATCACAGTAAAGATTATGATATTCGTATTCTGTAAATTAAAACCGTGTCGACCTGTAGATGTATATAAACTTATCAGAGAACATACTGCCTCCATCTTCAGGGCTAAGATATTAAATGTTATAATAGAATACAAATTGTCTTATCGATTTACTAACAAGTTTTATATTAGACTTATCGACTAGGGTTTTAACACTTTGAAGGCCAGTGGCGTAATTTTGAGAGTAATTAGAGACATTTTCTCAAAACAGCATTTACCTTCGTAATTTAGATGGGCTGAGGAAATGTTTATATGGTATTCAGAT